GGGAGAGTTATTCTGAGAGCCAGACCTTCAAAGCAACATTTTTTAAACAAGGAGTGACCTGGTGAACATGCAATAGTATTACAAACATAGATGGCAATTCCACCTCCTTTAGATCCTCGGTCAAGCCGAAAAAGATTGTAGTTGTCAATCGTAATCTGCAAGTCATTGACGGCAGGAGTGAGAAATGTTTCTGTTAGGCAAAATATGTCCGGGTCAAGATTTGCTACTTCTAGTTTTAGTTGACTTAATTTAATCAAAAGCCCTCTGATGTTGACATGTAGAACACCAACACCTTTTCTGCCAGAAAAATCTACAGAATTATATGAGTTCTTTACATTTGGTCCAGGATGAAGCTCAATACCACCCAGAAATAAGAAAAGTAGAATTAATAGTTTGCACAGGTATTTTCTGTGAAAGGATGAAGAGCGACGAACCTTGGACGAATAGCAGCAGCTCGCAGATGGTGTTATTTTTAAGAGCAGAATGAAGTTTGGAAGGAGTGCTGGTGAAGTAATGGGACAAAGATAGGGTTTAAAAGGATATAATGATGGAGTGTAGAAGTGTCTATAAGTTGTTTCATTAGCAGGTGTAGTTGCAAATTTAGCAATAAGTATTGACGCGAAGTAACGCGGGTAGCCGTTTGTAGAGTTGAGTGTGGCACTAGATATGGCCGGGAGGGACAGTAGTAAGATACACAGCAGGTGAATTGACATCTTTAAAACACTAAATTTAAACACACACACAGCTCACTCACACGCAGCTCACCCTCACCCACTCTCACGCACAGCCCACACCCATGCAGCACAACGCACACGTGGCCGCACACGCCGCCGCCATCTTGCTGCTGTTGTTGTTGCAGCTGCTGTTGTTGTTGCAGCTGCTGTTGTTGTTGCAGCTGCTGTTGTTGTTGCAGCTGCTGTTGTTGTTGCAGCTGCTGTTGTTGTTGCAGCTGCTGTTGTTGTTGCAGCAGCTGCTGTTGCTGCTGCAGCAGCTGCTGTTGCAGCAGCTGCTGTTGCAGCAGCTGCTGTTGCAGCAGCTGCTGTTGCTGCTGCAGCAGCTGCTGTTGCTGCTGCAGCAGCTGCTGTTGCTGCAGCTGCTGCTGTTGCTGCTGCAGCTGCTGCTGCTGCAGCTGCTGCTGTTGCTGCTGCAGCTGCTGCTGTTGCTGCTGCTGTTGCTGCAGCTGCTGCTGCTGTTGCTGCAGCTGCTGCTGCAGCTGCTGCTGCAGCTGCTGTTGTTGCTGCAGCTGCTGTTGTTGTTGCAGCTGCTGTTGTTGTTGCAGCTGCTGTTGTTGTTGTAGCTGCTGTAGCAGCTGCAGCCGACCCAACTGCAGTTACAGGAGTCATACACGAAGCAGCCGCAGCTGTGTGTACTACAGCAGAGCAGCAGCGGCCGTGCGGCCTGGAGGCGCCGAGGCTGAATAGTTGCGTGATGTGGACGTGGAGAGACGAGATGTTTGGCCCATCAGCTTCATTGTTCTGCTTCCATTTACGAGCGCCCTCCACGTAGGCCTCGACGTAGGCCCCCACGTGGGCCCCGACGTAGGCCTCGAAGTAGGCCTCGACGTAGGCCCCGACGTAGGCCCCGACGTAGGCCTCTATGTAGGCCCCCGTGGGCCCCGACGTAGGCCTCGACGTAGGCCTCTATGTAGGCCTCCACGTAGGCCTCGACGTAGGCCCCGACGTAGGCCTCGACGTAGGCCTCGACGTAGGCCTCTATGTAGGCCCCCGTGGGCCCCGACGTAGGCCTCGACGTAGGCCTCTATGTAGGCCTCCACGTAGGCCTCGACGTAGGCCCCGACGTAGGCCTCGATGTAAGCCCACACGTAGGCCTCAACGTAGGCCTCGACGTAAGCCCCCACGTAGGCCCCGACGTAGGCCCCGACGTAGGCCTCGAAGTAGGCCTCGATGTAAGCCCCGACGTAGGCCCCGACGTAGGCCTCGAAGTAGGCCTCGAAGTAGGCCTCGATGTAAGCCCCGACATAGGCCCCGACGTAGGCCTCGAAGTAGGCCTCGATGTAAGCCCCGACGTAGGCCCCGACGTAGGCCTCGAAGTAGGCCTCGATGTAAGCCCCGACGTAGGCCCCGACGTAGGCCTCGAAGTAGGCCTCGATGTAAGCCCCGACGTAGGCCCCGACGTAGGCCTCGAAGTAGGCCTCGATGTAAGCCCCGACGTAGGCCTCGAAGTAGGCCTCGATGTAAGCCCCGACGTAGGCCCCGACGTAGGCCTCGAAGTAGGCCTCGATGTAAGCCCCCACGTAGGCCTCAACGCAAGCCCCCACGTAGGCCCCGACGTAGGCCTCGAAGTAGGCCTCGACGTGAAGAACTCGTTAGTTCTGGAGCTGTTCGCCAAATGTAGTAAACCAGGCCTATGTCGGGTGATGGGGCGCGGATGCTGAACCAGTCGCAATGAACGACAGTATTTATGCATTAATTATGTTAATTGTAGCCAGTGACTGTGCGTAGCTTTGCCCAAATAAAGATTTTTATTGGAACGGAATCGGCAGACCAACCGGATGTGACGTCACGATCAAAGCGCTGTGGAGCAGCGATTGGGGAGGGGGAATACTTTGGTGACATGACGTCAATAGAGGGGTACACCTCCCCTAGGCGTCTCCACCGATGAGGTAATGCGGAGCGAGAGAGCGCGGGGTTTGAGTTTAAGTTAATTTATATTCCTTTTCCATTACTCCCTCTCTTGAGCAGAACCCCCTTGGGTGCGTGAGCTCAACAACAACGTTAACATTATTGTGTGTATATTCTTTGGTTCTTTCGGTAAATACTCTTAGGTTTTTTCGGTAAAGTCAAGTAGGTAAAAATAAATTATAGAAATAAAATTATAAATCACGACGTTTCGGAGGCAACACAAGTCTCCGTCGGTAAAGTCACTTAGGTATAAAATAAGATAAATCACGTTTCGGGCGCAACACAAGCGTCCGTCATCAGGTGGGAAAGCATGGCCTGCTGCTGATGCACTGTAGAAACAGTCTGCATCAGCAGCAGGCCACGTTTTCGCGAACCGGCGCCACACAAACCAAACCAGACCGACGACTCGCGTTCCCACCGAGGTTGCAAAATCATAATCCACGTTTTGGGTTTTGATTATGAATAATATTGGTCGCGAAAGCCTACGCGTTAAGCGAGCTCTATAATCCCTTCCCTCGCTCTGGGCGTTCATCCCTTGTAAGTTGTTCGTTTGGTTTGGAAGTAATAAGTATAACCCATAAAAACAAAGTTTTTCACTCTAAATCCTTTATATGCGTGGCGGCTAGAGTCCTCTCGTCCTCTGGCTTGAGATGGCTGCCACCTATGGGTCAGATGATTGTCTGCAGTATTAAACAATTGGTAATTAAATATTTAATTTGTTTTCCCTAAACAGTGTAAAATTTTGGAAAAAAAATTTCACGAACATTAATTGTCTCGCACAACGAGTCTGTGCCAAATGTCAGCTTGATTGGATCACGGGAAGTGGGTTAAAAAACGACCGAAAGGTTTGCACGGTCGTAAGCAAGCAAGCACGCAAGCAAGCAAGCAAGCGAACTTAATATAAAGGATTAAAAAATGAGACTCACTTTGCTGCTTTGATTGCAAGCGACTCAAGGTATGCCGTAGCCGTGTTCACGGTATTTCCATCGTGGTTTGATCTCCCTATGGGGAAATGTTATTTGCTCGCGTGTGCAAATCTTGCTGTCCGTGCTGCGGGGAGACAAAGACGGCTGTGAGCTGCTCGCTTACCCTGGAGTGTTGCATGTTTGTTAATTATGATAGACTTCTCTGCCCTTAACTCTCCTAGGAGATCCACTCTAATTTCGTACTTATTATTTGACTTAGCCTGTTATTATTTTATCTGATATCCCGGGGCTAGGGAATGTTTTTTTTTGTTGCTTAGGAGCGACCTTGACTGCCATAATTATTCTTTGATGCTTCGGTTATGCCGCGTAGAAATTATTAAAGGTAAATAATGTCAGTATTAAATTAACAAATGAGGATTCACGACCCTGGTGCAGACTGTAGTCTGGTTTCCAATTGGAGCGAGGATAGATAATGTTTGCTTAATCTTCATGGTTAAGTTGGTAACTTCGTTTAAAACCCGTCTTGTTTGCTTCTTGTTGACAATTTAGGCCGTAAGGTGAAGACATTTTACGTTTAATCCCGTTCCCATATATGGGGCACTACATTCTTTTCATTCTAATAAAAATATCTATTGCTTTTGGCCGTGAAAATAAAAGTTCTCCATGTCTAATCCTGCAGTTTATTTTTTATTATTGTTTAAAGTCGGCAATATTTCTTTCCTCGCGTAATCATATTTTGATCGTCAGTGATGAGGCTTTGCGTCACGTGCTTCCCGCTAGACCAATAAGGTGGCCGCTTTTTTGGGACGAGAGGTAAACATTAGTCCAAGATGTCTGCGCCCTTGTTGTCAATATCGAGTAGTGAAGAGGAGAAAATTACGGCCAGACCTCCTTCAAAAGTCTGTAAAAAGTATTTTAAACAATGCTACATACATCACGTCCATAAAAAAGAAGAAGCAAAGGATTTTACACGCACACGGTGGGATACATTCAGAAACTGCGTCAAACGGTGGCTTTTTTTGCAAGGTGAGAATCGGAGAATAGCAGAAACATACAAACATTGTCTAGAAATCGAGTTTGACAATGTTCCCGAAGACGCTGGGTTTCACTCCACTTGCTACAGGCGTTTCATTGACAAAAAGCGCTTGGATGCGGCCGAGAAACGGGCCACAGCGTCCTGAAGCTCAAGATCAAGGCCAGTTTGTGCCATCGGGTAGTAACATTAGTATCGCTGCAGTTGATTGTCCCGCAAAAAAACTTAGGTCCAGGACCGGCCTGCCAGTAGCTTGTGCTGGTCCTGTGCTTTCTGCCTTGTGCATAATTTGTAAGAAAACGGACAAGTACATTACTGTGGGAGGCAAACGCCAGAAGGACCATCTTTCACAGGCAGAAACGTCAGCACGTAGGTAAAAACAAAACACACACAAACACACACGTTTGAACTTTTATTCCCTTATACTGGGTACCATGGCTAACTTTCAATTACAATTACATAATTTATGTAATGTTTATTTTAGTCAGAGACAGATTTGCATTGTTTTGCATACAGCTACAGCCAGAACACTCAATATTGTTTAACTCTTAACACAGTTTTTTATTAGTTTAATTAGTATTTATTTATTTACAGGCAATTTGCTGAAAGCTGCTGAGATGAAGGAAGACACTAGCATTCTTGTGCATATTCGAGAGAAAGACTGTGTGTCTCTGGAGGTGCGATACCACAAGGCCTGTTATAGACCGTACACCAGGTTCTTGACAAAGTCTAGTGCATCAGTTACTGTGACCTCAGAAGAAGTGAGTCAGCAATATTTTATATTAATAAATATTAATTAATAATTCCCTCACATTTTCACATTTCAAAAGTAGGTTGGCCCGTGATTTCCCCCAGCTGGTGTTTCACTACCCCAAGAAGCGCAACATAAGTGAGATGGTTTTCGTTGAGACATCCATCAGGTACAGAAACAACAGTCAACTGAGGTAACTAGCGAAAGTGACTGTGAAAACAGGGCTAGACCAAGTTCAATGGCCTCCAACAATATTTCAGAGGACACGAGGACACTTTACAGTGCGGCATTAATATTAAAGATGCTTCTGTGCGATTCTCCCGGTATGAAATGCCCGTGGCCACCCACATCAGATGATCTAAATGTGAGCGAGGCAAAATCTGTCGTTCCAATTGAACTGTACAATCTGATTTCCTGGATTATTGGTGCAACTGAGGAACCAACACTGGCCCATTATGTTGATATTCCAGATGATTTTAACCTAAAAGTGATATGTATCTGTCAAGACATTGTGTATCTTGCATCTAAGGGTTGGAGGCAGACCCCTAAATCATTGTCTTGGTCTAACGGTTCGCCATTTAACAGGTTCATCACAAATTGTGTCACTTCTAAATAGACTAGGACATTGTGCAGCATGGGACACAGTTGTCAGTCTAGACACTAGCCTTGCCCAACTTCAACTAATAGAGGGCAGAGACAAAATACCAAAGGGATTCTCAAAGAAGGTTCCTACAGTACTTGTGTGGGACAATATTGACTTTGGGGAGGAGACACTGTCAGGTCGTAGAACTACCCACCACACAAATGGGATTATGCTGAAAAGTTCTGTAGTTGAACCTGTGTCAACAACAAACAGACAACCACTACAGAAGGGAAAAACCTCATTGAAAGTACCCCCTAGCATCCCTGTCGAACAGTACCATCAGTCTAATAGACAAGGACCACATAACTTGTTTCATCAGGAAAGTGTTCCATTACAGGCGGACACATACAAATTGAACACGGTGTCTGCTGTACAAACTGAACTGGCATATGTTTTTGTAAAGTCCATAGATGCTGAAGATGCACAATACCAAGCTGGACAGGTTTACATACATTAATTCAAGGTGATGGCACTCTGCAAAAGTCAGCACTGTATTATCTTCCAGTCATTGAGGCTTCACCGACAGATGTCAACAGTAAACACAATTCTGAAGCGAAGTGTCCAAATTCATAATCAGCTAGAACTGGACCATATAGTGTTAGTTTTTGACAAAGCTATATATGCCAAAGCTCAGCAAATCTGCTGGAAAGATGACTTTACTCAGCGTAAAGTGATTAGACTAGGTGAATTTCACACATGCATGTCCTACCTGAGCATTCTAGGAAAAAGGTTTGGAGATGCAGGACTGCAAGACATACTCATTGAGTCCAAAGTTGTTGCCCCAGGATCCATCAATGGAGTGATCAGTAGAGCTATTTTCTTTGATGGCATGGCAGTCATTCAAGCCATTCGGTCAATACCAAGTACCTTTGGAGAGCTTGCAGAGACCATACTGCAGTACATAGTAAAACTTTCTCTGAAACAAACTGTACACGGATAGACTTTGTGATTGACCAGTATCCCAAAAATTAGTATTAAAAACCTAGAACGGTCACGTAGAGCTGGTGGTGGTACACAACTGGTGAAAATTTATGGACGGGATCATAAGGCATCAACACAATGGAAAAAGTGTATATCAGATGGAACAAACAAAGAAGCACTGGCAGAATCCCTCTGTGTTGTGTGGCGAGAGGCTGATCTTACCACTGTGGGAAAGGACTTAAGCTTGTACATAGCACACGGAGACCTGTGTCACTGCGTGACTGTACCGGAGGATTTACATACTCTCAGTGCTGTTGAAGATCTGACATGTGATCATGAGGAATGTGACACCAGGGTGTTTTTACATGCACATGCTGCACAGGAACAGCAAACTGTAGTCATCAAGAGCCCTGATACTGATGTGGCAGTGATTGCTTTAAGTCTGCAGCCAGATTTACCATGTAGGTTGTATTTTTTCACGGGGGTTGGCAACAAAACAAGGCTCATTGACTCAGCTAAGGTGTCGTCAGCTCTTGGCACAAGTGTCTGTTTGGCACTTATTGGGATCCATACCTTCTCAGGTTGTGACTCTACAAGTGCCTTTTATGGCAAAGGCCAAAGAAAGCCATTTTCTGTTGCTTGTGAGAAAGAGGAATATATGACTGCTTTTACAAATCTGGGTAGCAGTTTTAACCTAGACCAGTCTACCTTTGAGCTACTTTACACACATGTGTGCCACCTGTATGGCCAGTCATCTGCCGAAAATGTGAACGATGCAAGATACAAAGCATTCTGTATGGCATCGTCAGCTTTTCCAGAACTATCCATGCCCCTTACAAGTGACGCCCTGTACCAACACTGCAAAAGGGCAAACTACCAAGCAGCCATAATGAGACATTCTCTGAAAGGTATAATGTGTGCCCCTTCACCCGTCGGCAATGGATGGCACCTCGAGGATGGTGAGTTAACAGTTACCTGGATGACTAGAAATCCTGCCCCTGAAAGTGTGTTGCAGGCAGTCCACTGCAGTTGCAAGCATAGCAAATGTGAGACTGTATGTCTGCAAGACTGTCTTGTACTGATTTATGTCAGTGCCAAAATTGTGCAAATGTTTCACAGGAAACAGAAGACCTACATGGGATGATGGCTCTGATAGTGATAGGGATGATACCGATGAGTAAATATGCGCTGTGTTATAATTTAAGGTGATTTTGAGCTGTAAAGAATCTGTGGTAGAATTGTAATTCATTTTAAAAGTAGTTCCCAGGTGTGGGAACGAAAATTATTTTCTAGCCACTTTTTCCTTGTTCACCTTACGGCCTAATTCTATATATTTTTTTAGCCGTAAAGAATATAATTATATATTCCTCGTGGCGCCTGTTCTTGTATTGTGAGGGGGGCTTTTGGAAGTGTGGGTGTTATTCTAACACCCTCTTGCGACCCCTTTTCCTCTCGTGTGAAAGTCGGGGAGGTTTTATGACATTTGATGGCTGTCTCTTTCATGCTTTCTGGCCTTTGAAGCGAGGTGTGCACGCATCTGCTGTGGAGTTGGGAAACGGGTTTTTCGCTCGTCTTTGTTTGCTCCCAAGTTGCCACCGGTGGCTGTTAAAAAGAAATATAGTATTGGCAGAATTATTCTTAATATTAATAAAAAAAAAAGGGTATAGATACAAGACCTGTGTCACAGGCCTTTAATAATGGAGCTTCACCATCTCAAGCCTACACATCTACCGGGTCTCTATTTGACTTTGTATTGTTTAAGAAGTCCACCCACACCTCCACTTCAACAAACTTCTGGGAGTTGCCTCGCTCTGCCTCATAGTCAGAATTGTCCTCCTGCTTCACGTTTCCTCCACCGATGTGAAGGTTCGATTTTGTAGTTGAATCTTCATCTTCACATTTTACCTTCACTTCATTGCTCTTCACTGTCGCCTCTTCAAATTTCACTTTCACCTCTTCACATTTCACTTTTATACATTTCGTAGTGTCCAAGCTGGAATTTACTTCTGGCTCTTTTTTCAGGAGGGATAAGCTCATTACAGCACTTTGACTTCCACAAGTCGATTTCAGACTACACTCCTTGGGGATCTTCTGATGCCTGTGTGTTCTCTGGTGTCTATGAAGATATGGTGACTGTGCAAATGCCTTCCCACACAACACAGTGCACTTGAAGGGTTTCTCTCCTGTATGTTTTCTCTGGTGCTTTTGAAGAAGTGATGACCGTGCAAAGGCCTTCCCGCACACAGTACACTTGAAAGGTTTCTCTCCTGTGTGCGTTCTCTGGTGTATTTTAAGATAAAATGCACTTGAAAATGCCTTCCCGCACACACTGCACTTGAAGGGTTTGTCTCCTGTGTGCGTTCTCTGGTGTTTTTTAAGATTTGATGACTGTGCAAATGCCTTCTCACACACAGTGCACTTGAAAGGTTTCTCTCCTGTGTGTGTTCTCTGGTGTTTTTTAAGATTTGCTGACTGTGCAAATGCCTTTTCACACACACTGCACTTGAAGGGTGTCTCTCCCGTATGTTTTCTCTGGTGCTTTTGAAGAAGTGATGACCGTGCAAAGGCCTTCCCGCACACAGTACACTTGAAAGGTTTCTCTCCTGTGTGTGTTCTCTGGTGTATTTTAAGATAAAATGCACTTGAAAATGCCTTCCCGCACACACTGCACTTGAAGGGTTTGTCTCCTGTGTGCGTTCTCTGGTGTTTTTTAAGATGTGATGACTGTGCAAATGCCTTCTCACACACAGTGCACTTGAAAGGTTTCTCTCCTGTGTGTGTTCTCTGGTGTTTTTTAAGATTTGCTGAATGTGCAAATGCCTTTTCACACACACTGCACTTGAAGGGTGTCTCTCCCGTGTGTGTTCTCTGGTGTTTTTTAAGATATGATGACTGTGCAAATGCCTTTTCACACACACTGCACTTGAAGGGTTTCTCTCCCGTGTGTGTTCTCTGGTGGCTCTGAAGATCTGATGACTGTGCAAATGCCTTCCCGCACAGAGGGCACCTGAAGGGTTTCTCTCCCGTGTGTGTTCTCTGGTGGTTCTGAAGATCTGATGACTGTGCAAATGCATCCCCGCACACACTGCACTTGAAGGGTTTCTCTCCTGTGTGCGTTCTCTGGTGTTTTTTAAGATATGATGACCATGCAAATGCCTTCTCACATACAGTGCACTTGAAGGGTTTCTCTCCTGTTTGTGTTCTCTGGTGCTGTGTCAAATTTCCAGTACGATCCGTGCTGTTTGCATAATGGTCGCATTGTTTCATTTTTGTACCGAGCAGCGCTGAGTGCCTTTGCTCCATCAGACCAATTCTGCAGAGAAAGCGTCAGAGGAAGCATCAGCTGCAGACAGAAAAACATATCCACACCATCTACGTCAGTATCGAGGCACAGAAGAATTAATATATACGCAGTCACACATGACTTACACGTCTATACTTATTCATATATTCAAGATATAGTGAAAAAGATTCCCCAATTCAGCACACGGGCTGTTAAGCCACACAATGAGAGGGCAAATGGTCAAAAATATGAATGGATTCCCTAGTATCTTCAAAATTAATGTTTAACCAAAACTCCAAGCACACACTTTCGGCTGTTTAGGTATGAAAGGAATATTTATTTCAGTAAAATTCAGCCAACATAGCAAAGTGTGTTGAATACACTATTTGTATTATGCAGAAATGCATACATTAATGTTCAATGAAAACTTAGATACCAAAAGAACCAAAGAGTATGGATTCCTGCAGTCACGAAAGCTTCAAATCAAGATCAAAACTTACAAGTGAAGCCAGACTCTGATTTGCTTGAATGCTCGGATGAACAGATCTAACTTCAGCTGCATGTGTTGAGATGCTTTCCTTACTGTTTCCATTCTTATAAAAAGTTCCAGAGGAAAACTAAAATAAACTATTATTTTGATTTAACCTCCACGTTCAATTGTTAATATGCTTTACTGAAAATACAAACTTGACACTGTCACACACCCGCATGGTATAAAGGTGGTGGTGGTGTGTCCAGAACCATGCCTGGCCACCTTCATCTGCTCAGTATTAATGCTTCCTCACTTCACCATGTAATTCATTTAAGATCAATCAACATAGCAGAGGCCCACAATAAGTTCAGCTTTCATTTATCAATCATGTTTGCTGTTGGCAATAATCAAACTAATTGTTGAGTTCAAAATGCAGTGAAATAACTACGCCACAGCTCCCCACAAAGATAAACTCTTAAATACACATACATTTCACAAGGATCATTAACATTGTATAAACAAAACATCCACCATTCATGACGAATTGGAAGTAACCTTATCGCAGTGGTAATGCCATGATAGCTGCAATTCCAGGCCATGTACGTGTGGATTCCTTGTCAGAATGTATTGGGAATGATCCAGGTGTCAAGGGATGACTGACAGATGAACCAGCTGCACACCCCACTGTCTTACTGGGTTTTAGGAACCCAGCATTCCACCCATTCATGTGAGTGTCGCTCCTCTGACCTAATCGTTGTTCCAGAGCAATAATCTCTTAAATGCCCTGCAGCATAGATAACGGGCCTCCTCGAGAGGCCAATATTGACACTACTTATACCAGTCATCGGCCGTGACGATCACCGCCACATCCTACAATCTCTTCTCTCGCCAATGCCACACCTGTTTAGCCCCTAATATCTGGACTAACAGAAGCTGCCTGAGCATGTGGTAACTGGAAATGCAGGATTCACGAATGAACCAATGCAGCCTCGCCTGTCAAAGAGACTCATTATTATATTCTATATTGATATATTAAGGATCTGTAAGCTTCGAATACAAAATAGTCTGGTTGAATTAAGGATGAATCATAGGCAGGCTAGCCTTCATTGTAGAAGCCAGCACAGATGGTCATTTAAATAAGTTCATATTTTGCATCCATAGAGTAATATCTGTGGCCAAGAAGAATCACAGGTTTGTTCGTTCGTTTCTAAAAACGCTTGTCCTGGTGATGCTCGTGGGGGCAGCACACAGATTCGGGCGGTCCAGGCCTCCCTTTCCCTGGCGACAGACTAGCTCAACCTGGGAAATTCCAAAGCGTTCCCAGGCCAGCGTGTCTTGGGCCAGCCCCGAGGTCTTCGCCCAGTGGGACGTGCATGGTACAGTTCCAGGGAGAGTCTATTGGGGTGCATCCTTACATATATTCTATATTGATATCACCGCTAGAGCCAGGTCCAGGGGTTGTTTGCCAACAAGCGACTTGTGGCCGCGTGACCCATGTAACCCAGTCGGGCCAGCTCGAAATGGCTACGTGGTACCATCCTGTGCACTGAACATCCGCAGGATTAAGGGTGAGGGGCGGGTGCGATGCCAGTATGGCAGGGAGAGGGATGGTCTCATATGGACTCGACCTACGCGATGGACACTCACAGCTTTGTATAGAGCAAAAGTCCAGGCACCTTGCACACAGAGTTACACAGTCTAATGAAGGAATGCTGCCCGACTAATTTTAAGTGAGATTTTGGCTGCCAAACCAGAGCTGGTCATGAATTAATTAAACAGGTATGGGAGCTCCTCCACCACTTGTAGAACTGCCTTATTATTCATGGAGAGTTGAGCAGGTGCAGTGTTGTATGACATTAAATTCCCAGGCAGGTGATTTATTTTTATGGAACATTTTCAAGGCCCCATTTCATGATTGGAATTATCAAGCCACAGAACAAGATTCCCTAATTCCATCTCCTTAAGTAGCCATTACCAGATCATCAGCAGATGTAACATGGTCGACCAGCATGGAACGATCCTTGAACTATAACCAGGCATCAATTAGCATATCATTGTAACCGTAACAAATGCAATAGTTTTTATATGACCATTGGGAGCTTCTCAAACTACATATTTATTGAAGATGCAATGTAATGTAATGCATGGGGCCAGAGTGAATTTCGGTCACAAGCCAAGATGAACAGGAAATGGCTCCGACTCCTGGTCACACAGCTTAAGATCATCCTGCCCAAAATCATACAAATCCTCAAATAATGTGAGCAGAGGCATAGATTTGAAAACAAATAACAATCCAAAGCCCCAAGCCTCTTCATGGTACTATAGGGCTTAATTAAATCAAGAATGCAGAGATCTAATTTCTGTTGAAAATACATACGCCTCTGCTGTAGTCAATAGACAAAAAAGACAGCAGCCGCTTGCATATCGCTGAGGGTACATTCTTGGAAATTCCCGCGCGAAAGCTAAAAGCGCGATATTCAATACTTAAGCCTTTCCTAAGTAATGGTGTTGGGTAAACGTCAACTAAAATTTACACCATCACAATTGAAATAAGTACTGTACTGTATTCCAAATAAACTAAACAATTGAAATAAACATGGAGAAACCGAACACAAAAAATGTTCCCAGACAAAAAATAGTATAAATCTATAAAGATAAAGCAAACTTGGCGCTTGTGTATATTTTTTAGCGAATCAAATTGTGCTAACACACTCCAAACTTTCCATGCATACTCACGGGTGTGTTAGTGTGTTGTTCACACTAATTGTAATCTTAACTAAACACCTACAAGATCTGTACCACCTGCACACACCCCCTGCTCCTCACCTCCCCACTTCTCTTTCTCTTACCATGTGTTAAAGCCCTGGGCATTCTCACTACTTCCGGTTTGCGACACATGTAAACACATTATGACATATACTACAATTCCAAGCACTCACCATATCACGAGTGTCTCCACTGCACTGCTATATTTGATCTCATATTTACCACGTTATCCTTCCCTATTATCAGCCCTGCGTTTTTGCCGCCAAATTCATCCCCTTCCGGCTCCTTACTGTCCTCTCTGCACGTGCACGGCTCACCTCTAACACACAGCAATGTTTTTTATAAAAAACGTACTATTCTAAAATATTTACATCTATGTGCCAACACTACAGACCTCCTTCGACACAACATAGATGCGAAACAACAGCTACGACTAAATACATCAAATCTACATCGCCTGGTAAGGAATAAAAAGCATGAATATACACGCACTAGCGTTAAAATAATTATACAAGTACACGCACCACCACTCACATACTATGAATACCTACATCAAGCGCTACAAACAATTACTTCGTTCATAAGAGGTTTTTGGGTTAGATCGTGTAAATATGCGTCGTTAAAACCCGCCACCATCCGACGTAGCCAACTAGTAAGGTTTGTCACGTAAACAGAACGTGGCCAATTCCTCACTAGTACAGCACACCGGTTGTGTGTTGGAGAGCCAAGACACAACATTTACCAACTGAGTACGACATTTCGCCAGTAATTACAACTAGCTTCATCAGGCGACAGCCAGATTTGTGGAGAAGTCTTACTGTTTCATACTCTTTGGTTCACGTACGTGACTTTACCAAAAGAACCAAAGAGTATGGATGCCTGCATTCACGAAAGCTTCAAATCAAGAATCTTACTGTTTCGTTCCTTATATAGAGACTTATTTGCCTTCAGGATCATGGTGCGAAAAGGCAGCTTCAATCTCTTCTTGAGATGCTGCCAGACTAATTTTGCTGTCGACATTTATGCCAAAATAGAAGCTTCATTCGATTAAACCCACTAGATGGCAAAACATCCAACATTGTCTATCCTGAAGCTCTTCAAGGGCAACGAATTTAAAAGCTGTCATAATTATTAAACAAACAAGCCCTGCGATTGTATAACACAACCAAAACACCGTGACAATACACATATTTACAGACCTCATTGGCATATTCCAATAATTCTAACAAAGCCAGCATTGCAAAACATTACTCGTAACGTTTAATTACTCAGACTTGTGCGAAGCCGGGTAACTTAGTTATTACTGAATACAATACTTCCGATGATGTTTGTGCATGAGTGAAAAGTGGCAGTGCAATGGTTCGCGTGCTGCACTATAAACCCAGCGACCTGATTTATATTCCCAGAGCCAAGCCACAACATTTGGCTGTCGCCTGATTAAGCTGGTTGTAAATACTGGCCAACGTCTTACTCAGATTGTAATGTTGTGGCTTGGCTCTCCAACACACAACCGGTGTGCTGTACTAGTGACGATTTGGCCACGTTGTTTACTTAACAAACCTTACTAATTGGCTGTTGGGTGGTGGCAGATTTAACTTTATATATGTACGCGATCTAACCCAAACAAACCTGAATTAAGGATGTATATTTCTAGTTTGCGTGTCTCTCTCCCCGTGGTCGCGTGGATTTTCTTCTGGGTCCTCCGGTTTTTCCCTCCACATTTAGAGTCAACATCACCACGCGTTTAGAGTATTTGACGGATATACATTTCCACACGTTGATAAGCCACTTTGTTGTGGACAGGTCGCTTCTGAAAAAGAGCGGTGTAGCTCAAGTGGGCTTGGCCTGGTAAGATAAAACAATTTTTTTTAATATTTTAAAGAAAAAACAGTTTCAAAGTAGTGAGCCAGGTGAAGACAAATTAAACTTAAGCCGAGAATTAAAGCAAATTCAATCAGGCGAAAGCAGGAGGCAAGGCCCCGCATGGCTAGGCCCCGCGTTGTAATGTTCCAACCTGGACATGGTTTTCATACTCGCTGCTACTCAATTGATATCCCTACAAGGGGGAGAAGGAGCGAGGCTCTACCTGGGTAAACAACAACAACCACCACGACAACAATCACAATGTGAACTTCTCACCTCGGATCTCAGTAAGCGCGCGCGAGGATCGGCAGCTTCCTGGTATCGCATGACGTCACGCGGCAGCAGCAGGTGACATGACGTCACTCGCGGGGTACACCTCCCCCTCGAGTCTAACGCCGATTAGGTAATGCAGTGGTGACGTCAGAGAGCGGGATAAGAGTTTAAGTACGAGTCAGTCAGCGTATGATGAGTGAGTGTATGATGAGTGAGTGTATGATGAGTGAATGGGTCAGCGTATGACGAGTGAGTCAACGTATGATGAGTTAGTGTATGATGAATTAATTTGTGTATGATGAGTGAATGGGTCAGTGGTTGTGTGAGTGAGTGTATGATGTGTGAGTGAGTCAGCGTATGAAGAGTGAGTCCGTGTATGATGTGTGAGTGAGTGAGTGTATGATGTGTGAGTGACTCAGTGTATGATGAGTGAGTCAGCGTATGATGAGTGAGTATGATGAGTGAATGGGTCAGTGGTTGTGTGAGTGAGTGTATGATGAGTGAGTGAGTCAGCGTATGATGAGTGAGTAAGTAGTGTATGATGTGGGAGTGAGTGTATGATGTGTGAGTGAGTCAGTGTATGATGTGTGAGTGAGTCAGTGTAAGATGCGTGAGTGTATCACGGCATCCTCCACGCCATCACGGCCTCAACCCGCCATCACGGTATGCTAAACATTTCGAACAAACACACATATTTAAAAATTTGCCTTTTATGTATAAGATAGATAGAGTCAGGATGTACTACTGTAGTGTAAGCAGGTACCACCACAGTCGGTATCCACTGCTGTAATCATTGCAGGTACCACCACAATATGCACTGCTGTAATCATAGCAGGTACCACCACAGTCACTATGCACTGCTGTAATCATAGCAGGTACCACCACAGTCAGTATGCACAGCGGTAGTCATAGGATATCACCACAATATGCACTGCTGTAATCATATCAGGTACCACCACATCAGTATGCACTGCGGTAGTCATAGGATATCACCACAGTCAGTATGCACTGCTGTTGTGAAAGCAGGTACAACCAAAGTCGGTATGCACAGCTGTAGTCATAGCAGGTGCCACCACTGTCAGTATACACTGCTGTAGTGATAGCAGATACCACCTCAGTGGGTATGCACTGCTGTAGTGATAGTAGATACTGCTATCGAGTTGGTAGATACTGTTATATAGAGTTAGTAGATACTAAAACAGTCAGTATATACCACTACAGTCAGTCAATACTGCTACAGTCAGTATATACACTACTATACAGTCAGTACATATCATAGCAAGTACCACCACAATATGCACTGCTGTAATCATAGCAGGTACCACCACAGTCAGGATGCACTGCTGTAATCATAGCAGGTACCACCAAAAGATGTACTGCTGTAATCATAGCAGGTACCACCATAGTCTGTATGCACTGCTGTAATCATAGCAGGAACCACCACAGTCAGTATGCACTGCTGTCGTGAAAGCAGGTACCACCTCAGTGGGTATGCACTGCTGTAGTGATAGTAGATACTGCTATCGAGTTGGTAGATACTGTTATATAGAGTTAGTAGATACTAAAACAGTCAGTATGTATCACTACAGTCAGTCAATACTGCTACAGTCAGTATATACTACTATAAGTCAGTACATATCATAGCAGGTACCACCACAATATGCACTGCTGTAATCATAGCAGGTACCGCCACAGTCGGTATGCACTGCTGTAGTGAAACCAGGTCCCACCACAGTCGGTATGCACTGCTGTAGTGAAAGCAAGTACCACCACAATATGCACAGCTGTAATAGCAGGTACCACCACAGCACTATGCACTGCTGTAATCATAGCAGGTACCACCACAACAGTATGCACTGCTATAATAGCAGGTACCTGTTGTGTCTATACCTCTTTTTTTAAATTAATATTAAGAACAATAAAACATTTTTTTTATATTTTTAAGTTAAATAATGAAAACAACCCACTACTCCTCACAAGCACACCAGGAATCTATGAAACGGGGAGGGCCATTAAACGCGGTTTGGCACAAACACACGCGTGCCATAAAGTACGTATGGCGGGGTCTGGCCTCGGGAAGACCCACGCAGGGGAGCAAGGAGGGAGTCAAAGGGTCGCGATGGGGGGGGGGGGGTCTGTGCCTGACATTCCTAGGGCATCTGTTTCTCTTGTTTGCTGAGAGAGGAGAGGGTGTTCACGTTTTGAGTTAAACACACGCGAGCAAATAACACTTCCCCGTAGGGAGATCAAACCACGATGAAATACAGTGAACACGGTTACAGCACGCCTTGAGTCACTTACAATCAAATCACAATAATACTAAACAGCCAAATGAGTCGCATTTTAACTTCCAAACCAAAAACAACTTAAGCTGTGTGAGACAAAGGATATAACGCCCAGAGCGAGGGAGGGGATCATTAAGCTCGCTTAACGCGTATGTTTTCGCGACAAATATTATTCATAATCAAAAACGTGTATTATTATTGTGATTATGTAACCTTGGTGCGAACGCGAATCGTCGGTCTGGTTTAATGGATAACTCGTGTGGGGCACCAGTTCGTGAAGAAGCCCCCACCCCTCCTTCCAGAATGATTACACAGCTGTGTCTTTAAAGCAAATAAACACACGCAACACATACGGACGGACACGCACACGACACACACGGACGCAGATGTGTTCACCCCCACAAAAGATATATGACCCGGCCTTTGAACAACTCGGGAAACCGAGTGGATTTTCTCAATATAAGCCGAGGCAAAATCCATTCAAGACATCTCGTCTCCGGGGCTACGGCCCCCACCAGAGATCTCCAGGGCTACGGCCCCATCTCATCTCAACGCCGACAACGAAGAAGCTCTTCCGTCATCCAGAATGACGATGTTCGCGGGGTAGCGACGTGCATCGACAAGCTGAGGTCTGCACCACCTAAAAAGAATCGCTACCCTGAGTCGCCGAGCTGCGAGTGAAGCTGACGGAGATTCCAGCTATCACTCTCGAGCCAACAAAGACACCCAACGTCCACCCAGCAACGAACGAAGCATCGTTCATCGCCAGAGTGACGACCAGCGAACAACCTGTAGAAAGGGCGGAGATCGCCAAGCGTCAACCAAGCGAGCATCGCAAAGGACGAGCAGCAGCGGATGAGCAACAAGAGCCATCGTTCATCGCCAGAGCGCTCCAAGCCAGTGAGCGCGCACAGCCGCGTCGTCCAGAGCCTGAGCCAACACAGCCTGAAGTAAGGGCGAGTGTCCGTGTGAAGCGGGCAGCGATCAAGGAGAGAGTGACGACGATATCATCGCGCACCATGACGGCGAGCATCGTGCGACGCCACTCATCTAGCAGTAGAGAGAGAGAGCGCGCACGAGCAGCACGACTCGGGCGTCACCGAGCGTCGTGCCGACTCGTGGAGGAGCTGCGCGCTATCCGACTACGGAATCATCGCGCACCACGACGGTGGACATCGTGCCAACGCCGCTCAATCGAGCAGTGGAGAAAGGGAGACAGCACGGGCTCGCTGCGGCCACGCCCAAGCGAGAGGAACCTCTAAAGAGCTGGTTGTATCTCCCCCACCCCACAAGCTAACGACACAACTCCCGGCTCTAAGAAAAATGTAATTAATTTTACAAAGGGACAACGCACACACAACACGCACACGAATAAGACTTTCAAAAAGTTATCTTGCGTTTCAAAAAGGGTTGCCATTTCAAGGTGGTGCGTTCAATATCAACTGATCGTGCAAAGCAGTTGCTGCCGTCGAGTTACAAGAATAAGAAATGTTTTAGTCATTTATTTTCGTTAATTGCATAATCTTGCCGATGAATCTACTGACGTATACTTTGCCTTTGCATCTTAGAGGTCATATGTTTGTTTAGAATAAAAATTGCTTAACACCAAATGTTCGAGTGCTTCTTTCCCAGTCCATGCAAAACTGTCTTATTCCTAAGAACTGTATCCTGCGATGAGATATGAAATTAGAGACCTAACATAACATAAACACACTAAGATAATCAGTAAATGTTCAATCAAAGATAATCGTTTTATCCCGATTGATCAGGCCTCCTAAAACTGTGCATATCTACAAACTATACAGACTAGCTTAGTTTGTAGACACCGCCAGGATTAGTTTGTAGAATAAATGTAGATCATCTATAGAGCCCCATTATTTCATTGATTTACGCTCGCTAACGAAGCAACGACACCAGGAGGCGACGCTGCTTTGTCTGGAAGATGCCCTCAAGGGACAGATGCATCATAGAACTGCGGAACTCGTCGAGTTCTCACTTGAGTATCGAGAAGTCCGACTCGACCGCCGTCGTGTTGGCGAGCACCGATGCCAACCCGCCGCTGAAAGCGCGGAGGTTGTCGAAACCACTCGGCAGCACATCCCACGCGTCGTTGAATGTCGTCGTGTTGGTGTGCTTGTTCATGGCGTCGTGAATGATCGTGTCCTCCTTGTAGAGCTTGACCAGTTGGCGATGCTCCTCCTCGACCATGTCGACCTTCACAGCTGACCAGAATTTCGTAACATGCACGCGACACACTGCCAGCACGTCCTTCACGAACACACCAGGACGCATCTTCACGAGCTGAGCGGGCATCACGGGCGCCGCATCCTGGTCGAGAGCTCGATTGGCGTCGTTACGCTCTGCTTTGACGTCGTTGAGACCCGCGATCAGCGTCATCGCATATATCGAGATCTCCTTGACGATCCTTGTCTTGTCGACCTCATTGAGACCCTCGTAGCTCTCCTGCGCAAACAATCCCTGGTCCTCAATGTGGGCAATGATCGCGGCAGACGCGATGCGCATCGACTGATCATGATACGACACGTACGCCTCATCATGATTGTTGACGCCATCAACAATCTCAACACTGAACAAAACGGTGAGCGACCCGATAAGTGACTGAATATGCTCCTCCTGCTACGCGATGAGCAGCGACTGGCTCTGGAGCTGGACGATAGTGACGTTGATGGCGTCGATGGCGGGCGCGAGCGCGTAGGTAAGAACCCACCAATCGGC